TATATCATTATTATAATTATTGTTGTTGTTGTTGTTGTTATTATCATTATTATTATTTTAAGTTGCAGTAAAAATGGGTCAATGTAATATCGATGAACGGTGGTCTTGTTTCTTTTTTTTTTAGATGGAGAGTAATCACAATTAAATTAAGCTGGCAATACTTCTTTGATGATATGAAAATGAGTGGTAGGCGTATTGTATACTTTAGGGAAATATTATGATAAATGATAACGAAGTCATAGTCTTTTAACAATCCATTTTGGTGAATGTACTCATATTTACACATCTTGTACATGTATGTATCTACAGTATCTATAATATACATAATAATATTATGGATCTATTACGTTACGCAATTGTAAACCAAAGATCCCCCACGGGGATCAATGAAAATTTAATTTTTATTTATATCTATTTTTTCTTGGCACCCTCAGCTTTCTCCCTTTATTCTGTGCAGATCGTAGAAAACCCATCTCTCATTTCCCTACGGCTCTGTTCTCTCTTGTCTCCTCTGCTCCACAAATGTTATCTTCGTCATCGGACATTATTGCGCTCCACAATCCTTCTAGCACCAGTCGCGTCTCCGACTGCAGTTCTCATTTCCCTGCAGTGGAAAACTCGAACTACAACCGTATCCCGAGTGGCGTGCGTTACAACTTGGTGCGTCTCACAGCTCGGACATTGATGGGCCGTGTTATCGCCGGGTGACCCCGTCTTTCATCCCCGCCTCCGACACTGTAGATGAGGATTCCGATCGCGTTTTGTGTCTCTTCGCGGTGTGGCGTTACGCGTCATAAAAATAGTTCGCGTAAATATTTATTACTTTGAAACAATTTACCGTGGTCCGTGGGTTCCCCCCAAGCGGGGTAAATATTTTCTCGATAGCGACGGCTCGGCGTCGGAAACAGAGGCAAGTTGACCTCGGCCACGCTACTAAAACAGGAAGATGGTCTGGAGAAGGGGGGTTATCAGTCAGTGGTCAGCTACTTGAAAGAGACGTTTTATCGTCGATTGGCGATTAAGAGTTCAAGGGTCAATGGACGTGTCCAGCTTCAAAGATTCGGGAAGATTTGCACAGTCTAATGAGCGCGTCCGTCGTCTGTCTAGGCGAGACCTCCGTGTCAGTGTTTGGACTACAAAGCCGTTAAGAGTGCGCCATCCAGAGGTTAATTTTTCTTACAATAAACAAAAGGGGAGAACCGACTGTCTTGGTGCTGCCTTTCGTGCGAGTTGCTTCCTTGACCGTAAATAGCATATATCTCACTTGGGCAGATTTTTGATACTTTAAAAAAGGTGCAAAAAAGTGTTGTGTCTTCTTGTGGTCTTAAACTCTTTCACTGGCAGTGAGCATTCTTTTTTTTGGTTTTTGTTTGCTGAAAAAGATACTGCTCTCCTCAAATACAGCAATCTTCAGGATCCCTAACAAGCAGTCATCAAATTGATGAATAAAGTCGACGAGAGAATATGTCATGGTATACACAACTAGTTAATCATAAAGAACATTTTCTCGTTTAGCCAAAAAAGTGTGCGTGTTCCTAGTTTAACGTCCATCTCCGACAGGACATGGCCAGAAGAGGGGAGACCCTTAAAATCTCCACAAAACAACCCAAGTTCAGGACGCACCATTGGGATTCAAATCAAGGCCATCCGCTCTGAAGTCCAGCATGATGCTAGCTGAACTAA